AAAGCAGAGAAACAGATCAACAGCAGAACGGAACGACTCAACGTCCCCTCGAAGGTCTCATTAGTGCGTCTACACACTCGAACAACCAGGTCAGACCAACTTCCACATGCACGTCACCATTCCCCTCTTGTTTTCTGTACTGCTACTAATTACTGATACGGTCCGTTTTTCTTTTTTATTATTTTTTCTGGAAAATCTGACTTGGTTCAATTGCTCAAAGGTTCACTCAGTTCTGTCTAAATCTGAGCTTCAAAGGAAACAGCCATGAGCTCATGAAAACTCTCTGTGCATCCACACATGGATGCTGTCTTGTCTGCTTGAAAGTTTATTTTTTTTGACATCCATTGTGCTGTTGAAGGCCGCAGTCCATCTGATGTTTAGCTCTTCAGCTAATTTGTCATTGGTTTGTATCTGCAAATGTGTGAACCTTCTGTTGTACGAGAAACCTGCAGATGAGTCATTGTGATTCACAGCCTTTTCCAGTTCTGTCACACTCCCTACAGGTGAAGTCAGGGAGGCTCATCGGAAACATCATCATCATGTGAAACGGCTGCACAGAAGAGAGGCTGAGATGAGTCACGAGGTCTCTGCAGATGTGTCCTCACCGACAAGGTGCGGAAGGGTCCGTCTTCACCTCAGCAGAGATCGGTTAGTTTGACCAGCCGAGCAGACGGTGCAGTTTGATCTCTAGGTCAACATTGTGGATGAAATGAGAGGATTGATACCGCTCACCTGTGTGCTAAATATGAAACTACAGCTGCTTATCTGGAGACTATCGATCCGTTTTCTGTTCGTAAACATGACGTTATTACTTAACCCTGGCTAGCAACCTGTATATAAGAGGTGGACGTAGTCATCGTGACGTCATTGGTTTGTGGACGTTTTGAAGCCTCGAGTTCGCCGATTTTCGCCGCCATGTTGATTTACGACGGTAGAGACCTGTCAATCACCGTGTAGCCCCGCCCTAAAGCATCCCCTGCTTTATGGTCTGTGTGACTCTAAATGGACCATAATGTACTAAATGAACATCATGCTGTATTGAAGAAGACTTGAAACTAGAGATTGAGACCATAAAGTCATGTTTACAATGTTTACTGAGGTAATAAATCAAGAGAAATTTTTTTTATGAGCAAAATGTATTCTTTAATAAACACGCATGTATATTGACCTTTCACATTTTAGATACACTATATGAATATATACAGAATACAAGTGGCTCACAGACATAAATAAACAATTTTCTGTAATTTACAACTTCGTGTGTGTGTGTGTGTGTGTGTGTGTGTGTGTGTGTGTGTGTAATATATGTTAGATGTGTGTATCTGGTATCTGAACACTGGTTGAAGGCGACTGATCATTTCCTGTGTTTTCTCTCTGCCTCCCTGTTCTGACCAGCTAATCCCCGTCCGTCACAGAGGGGGGTCCATACAAGATGCATTTGCTCCTCCGCTCTCAACAGCTTTCATTTCCTCTGACAGAACAGACAGCAGCATCCTCCCGTGCTCGGTTCTTTAATCCAGGTAGAACGAATGGAGAGATTAAGAAGCTGAAGATGAGCCGTGATGGAAGAGGGTCAGCGGGATGAGGGCAGGTGAAGAGACAGCAGGTGTTGAGGACATCGGACGGCAGATGTGCAGGTTGGAGGTTTTTAATCAGCACACAGAACACGATGCCGTTTCCCACCAAAGGGAAGGTGAGCTTGGTTGAAAAAAAAACAACCACTCTTGAGTGCAACACCTGGTGTTTATCAGCCACTTGTTTCCATCTTTCCTGTCCCCTTAAAGGGGAAACACACACCAGAGGGCTCTGGATGTCAAATCCGTCTATCGTTTGCAGGTAAGTCGCTCGTTACAGTTCACACATAAAACATGAATATATGTGAAAAGCCCTTAACCACAGTGGAGGAAGAAGTACGCAGATCTTTTGCTGGTGTGAGAGTAGTAATACCACATTGTAGAAATACTGTTTAAAGTTAAAGCCATGTATTAAAACTGTTACTTAAGTATAAGTACAGAGGCTCTATAATCAAAATAAACAGCCAAAGTACCAAAAGGAAATGCATTCGATATACAGAGCAACTCTACATCATGTCATGTTTTTAGCAAAAGTATAGTATATCAATAATGACCGTTTCTGACCTGAGTATTCATCAGGACGGGACACACCTGGGTCCCAGCATGAAGCCTGAGCAGCAGCATTCCTTTGGTCGGCAGATCGTCTTAACACACGTCTGTGTTTTTGTTTTATTTACCTGGTTTATGCAGCACAACAGCCATGCATTGCCAACATTGTTTTGATTATTTTGCAGTTCATAAATCACTAGTATACCCGTGTGTCTCCTGCTTTCTTCCAGTTAAAGAATTGTTGTGTGACCATGTCAAAAAATGTCAGAAAAAAAAGTAAATTGTATATTATCGTACGTCACAAAAGTCATAGTACATTCAATCCAATACAAATGTATTTGTGTAGACCAGTATCACAATTTTTTGTCTGATTTACAATCTGTACAGCACACAACATCCTCCGTTCTTCAAACAATCCCCTTTACGGGGAAAAAAGAAGGAACCTCAAAGAGGTGGTGAGGAGGGCCTCAGACGTGCAACAGATGTAATAAACAAAGAATTACAAGATACATAATACATATGACAGAAATGATAAATATATTGAGTAGTAACAGCAGAAGTGATTACTATAACAGCAGCAGTGGATATCATAGAATGATGACTAACAGTGGGTGTCAGGCAGCAGGCAGGGCAGCGGTCCGGGCATCACCCGGATCCTTTGCAAACCTGCGAGGAGAGAAAACAAAGACACTCCGAAGACGAAGCCAAGATACAAACACGCCTTAATGGGACAAACATGCAAACACAGTACGAGATAAAGAAGTCATAGTATTACATGCCATAGGAAGTCATGTGCGACAGTCTTTATTTTGTAATCGTATAGTACGTAACAAAAAGTCATAAAAACGTCATAGCATGTTATAAAGTGTAATAAAAAGTCATAGTACATTATAATAAGAGTAACTTCTTCTTCCCGGATGACACCCACCCTGAAATGTTAAAATATGTGAACTGAAGGCCACAGGACGGCAGACATGTTAAAAGCTTTACGAGTAAACACTGAAGACAGATTTTCACTCCGCAGACGTTTGTCTGCAGCGAAGTCTTAATCTCTCCGACGGCCTTTAAGTTGGCAACGTTTTCCTTTTCCTCCTCCGCTGTGAGTGATGGATTTAATGTCTCCTTTGTGGCCTAAACTACAGCACAGTCCCTGGACACAGTGTGCATAGACAACAAACAACTTTTAATTTGACCTCGGTGTTGTCGCTGCTAAGAATTCTCTGGGTTTCCACAGTCGGTTAGGTCCGACTGTCCAATGGAGCAGTAGAACGCGAGGCGACGGTTTAAATAGAAGCACCAATTTGTGAACATCAAACGTCAAAAAAATCAAACAAGCATCAAACCGGACACCTGTGCTTGATTTGAAGAGTATGAAAATGTTCTTCTAGAACATCAGATGATAGATACGAGTGTTATTTATCTTTGTTTTCAGCGTCATTCTTAAATCTAAGAAGTTAACCTTTGAACTAAAAGAACAAACGGAGCCTTCAATTACAAAACAAACGCTCTTACAGAGAAAAATCATTTTAATCCATATATGTTTAAAAAAAAAAAACAGTAACCGTACTGTAAATCTTGAAATCATGAAAAGAAGATAATATACATTTCCAGGAAGTCAACGTTTGGCTCATAATATTTATACATTCAGACAAACATTTATCTGAGGTTGTGTTTTCTAAATAATCCAGAGCTGCATTATTTAACAATTCATTGTCAGATTCAGTCTTTAAATCTTTTTCTTTTTTGTAAAAGCCCTCTAGATTTCAACGCTGCTCAACTTGGAATCATCTCAGCCGGTGATTTAAAGACAATCAGTTGATTAAAGTTGTTAACATTTGATTTTGACCGCTTGCATTGATCTTTATCTCAGCCATCGAGTGAAATGTCCTGAATGATTTAAACATGTCATGCAGATTGCCTCGTTAAAGGAAACCCTCCAGTCTGGCAGCGCAAGTTAAATCAAACTACTTGTGCTTTTTGTGAAAAACACCAAGTAAAGGAGAGCTACACGATCTAATAAATGTTACGCTCCAATCGCCGAATCGGATAATTCTACTTTCTTGCATTCTGGTTTATCTGCCCTTAAAAGGACAGTTCCTCTCATCTGTAGTGCTTCTTATCAATCTGGATTGTTTCAGAGTTGGTACCTGAATCTTGGAGATATCAGCCGTTAGATGTCTGACTTCTCTCCAGTATAACAGAGCTACACGGCTAAAACTATTTGAAAAACTGCAATTTCACTTTTCCAGAAATCATGACACCGTTACTTTAGATAATCCACGGACCATGTTGTGAGCAGTTTCATTCAGGAACTACTTTCTTTCTACTGAGCCGTCACCGCCCAGACGGAAGCGCGCGTCTACTCGTGGAACGAGATGTAAACGTTGATGTAGCGTCAGCTGGTAGCTAAGCGTTAGCTAGCAGTATCGAGTACAAACGCACACTTCCATCTGCACGGTGACGCGGTCGGTGGGTGTCGTTTGGTAAAGTAGAGAATAGTTCCCACATGAAAGTGATCTTGATTAACCGGGTCGGTGGTAGATTGATCAATAGCACTACAGGCCTTCTTAATGAATATCACAAGAAGCAGAGCTGCTGAAAGACAAGATGTGACATTAACGGACAATTTGGAAACAAAAAAACGTGAAATAATTTGGTGCAGTGAGAGAATAATGTTTGTAGTTCCTATAAATGGTCGTAAAGCTGCAGACAGGAAGCACCTTCAGGCTGGTTTAACCACAGCTACGTCTCTTGATTGACTCGTGATTAGAGATTAATTTAGATTAGTGTGATTTCATTTAATTAATGACTATTGTTTAATATATATATACAAACACACACATATACACACATGCATATATATATGTACATGTACACGCGCACACACGCGCGCGCACACACACACACACACACACACACACACTTTCTGTTGATTGACTGATCCGTGAAGTGTTTTTAGTGCTAACTTTTAACATTAGTGACAGAAATCTTCCACACGAACCGTAAAGTGAAAAAAATTACAAATTACAAACCTACGAAAGGAAATGCAACAGAGCAGCAGAACTTCCACAATCCTTGAACCTTTTCCCCAAACAATGCGTGTGGATTTAAAGCGAACCCGTTGACATTTTGTGAAATGTGTTGATTTGCTCTCCTGCCAAGAGTTCGATGAGAAGAGAGATTCCTCTCATATCTGTGGCTTGAACATTAAGCTACCGGGCTTGGTTCAAATGCAAGAAAATACACTTTTAAGCACCTTTAAAGCTCATAAACTAACATTAAAGAAAAGGTGTGCTTTTTTTCCCTGCTTCCAGTCTTTATGCTAAGCTAAGCTAACAGTCTTCTGGATGTGGCTTCGTACTAATACGAGAGTGGGATCGATTGTTCTCATCGAACTCGAGGAGAGAAAGCAAATACGTTTATTTAAAAAACATTCCTTTAAGTAGCTAAATGGATAAACACAACTTTGTGATGTAAATGTTAATGTTGCACGATACCGAGCTTAGCTAACCGGCGTTTTTAACCGATTGCGACCGCAGGAGAACACAGACGTACCGAGGTGGTCATTTCCAGCGTTCTGCCGTAAAGAATGAGACGCTGTGGACATCCAGACAGAACGACGTCATCTTACTCCAACACTTTTAGTTTTTTAAAAAAGTCTGACAATACTGGGCGTGGGCGAGGACGTCACGCTCGACATGAAGCTTCATATTTAGGGATGCTTGAGGAAACTGCTGAATAAGAAACCTGGGTGTAAGGCATAATCCAGAAACCACCACCAGATCCACAAATAGTCTGTGGCGAGAGAGGGAGCGACCGCTCAGCAGACCACATGCTGCTAAATGTGGGCTGTTATATGCTTTGTCCTTCTGGCCGGGGACAGAGACGGTTCAGAGCCTTTTAAGAGGAGGTCAGAGCCGCACGAGGTCCAGAGATTACTTCCACCCGCCAGGCTGACGGCACCTCGTCATCCCGACGGGGAGCTCCGATCGGCCTCCTGTCACAGACTGGAGGACTGGGAGCGATGGTACGGTCCATTCACCTGGAGATGGAGGAGGAAAATACATTGATCGTTATCTCATTCTGGAAACTTTGAACTTCAGGCTGTTTACGCCGAGAGAAAAGGCTGCAAGTAGAGGTTGTAAAGATGTGAATAGCTTAATATATAAAGCACATAGAGCCGCGTGTTTTCCCCTCCAAGGGAACACTTGTAGACATGTTGGATGTATAGATTCCAGTGTTTTCCAATTTTTGTAAAATAAATCAGCAAAGAAATTCAACTTATTTTTCTCACAGGACAGCGACGCTACCAACATATGATCTGATAGAATATGATGCATTAATGTAGGTTAAACCAGCCAACAGGATATAAAGGAGTTGACATGCAACATACACATTAATGCAGCAGCAATATTAATCCAGATATAATAGTAAAACACTGACTTGCTTAGAATACATACACACTTCTACTTAAGTAAAGTTTGATAGAAGAACTTTTACTTGTATTGCAGTATTTTCACAGTACTTTTACTTAAAATAGTGGATCTGAATCTCTCTTCCACCCTGTGTGACAGAGTCAGCGGTTACATGAAAACAACGAACAACAGAGAACGTGTTAGGAAGAACACAAAGCCCCTCAGGGACGGTCGGCGACATGATTAGTCTCCAGCAGGTTGATAATTGATTTGTGGTGGTCGACCCTGACGGATGCGACGGGCTCAGCATCGTGAATCAGCTGCGCTCAACTAAGAAGTGGCCATGAATGCATCGCTCTGGGTGTTATGGAAGAGGAACAATGTTTTGGATGACAGATACAACAATAGTGTTAAAAGGAAAGAATTCCCTCAAGTTTTTGGCAGAATCCAACCAGAAAAGTCTCCAATATATCGTAAGAAAGGACCCAATGATTACTGTTATTACTGGGACACCGTGACTACACGATGGACTCCAGACAAAAGTTTTATAAAAGACACTAATTATTTAACCAACACCACAAGAGGTGGGCATGGGGCTGCTTGTGTTCTTGATGAAACGCCATCTTCTGTGTCTTTGTTTGCTGGACGCCTCCCGTTCTACAAAAGGTACAGTGTGCTCTTTTTCTTTTCAATGCAAAGTTCCAGGAATGATGCAACTGGTTGAGCTCAAAGGTAACTCAAGCTCACCTGTTATTCTCTCACGGCGCTTATCAGCATTGTATTATGTCATCTTACTTTGGGACGGAGTGTGTGCGTTTGTTTGTAGAGGAGGGCTGTAAGCTCTTAAAACAAGCCCTTAAAGAAAAGTTTCTTCCCCTTTAAGAAGCTTCAAACAAGCTGTGAACTCAACATGAACATATTATCGCCTTTTAACTTGATGTAGCGTGCTTGTTAGCAAACAGTTGCTTATTCAAGCTGCATTTCCACCAAAAATCTCTCCCTCTTTATTATGAATGAGTCGGGAAGCCGACAGCAAAGGCTAACTTTACTTTTTAACGTTATTAAACAAAGAGAAACGCCGTCACCTCGTCCTCGTCTGATGGTCCTGAATAGACCACTTCCTTGTTTAATGAATGAAGCGGTGCACGAGTTGAAGCAGCTTCATCGTGAGAGTTTGACCAATCAGAGACTGTCGTCCCTACAAAATCCCACCCTTTACTTTGAGAGAGTACTACCCCCGACCTGCAGGGCCTTTTTTGGGGGGTAAAATGTCCCTGTAACTTAATTTAGACTCTGGTCAATGTGGTGGAAATGCAATGACTTCCACAAAAGTTTTCTTAGTCCCTGGAAACGTTATTGCGGTCAAAAAGATCATTAAAAAATAAAAAAAAAACATTCATTTTGTCAGTCGAATATTCTTTCTTTTAGCTCCGTTTTTGGTCTCCACCAACTCCTGAGGGAAAGCTCTAGCTCTTTAGCTGCTGAACGCTCCAGTATGTTCAGCAGCTGGTCGCTAACTTTGTCCGTTTACTGTTTAGCAGGTCGAGTTTTTACAGCTTTTGCTCTGAAACCAGCTGATGCAGCCAAAAAATAACACACATGTGAACCAAAAGAGTATCGTCAGACAGCTGAAAAATAATCTGAAACTCGCTATAAAACTGTAAAGCTGAAGTTAAAAAAAATAGAATAATCAGAATCATGTTTACTATATACTCTCTCAGGAATCAAATGATCTGTGCTCACAGCCTGCATCTGATGGGATGTGTGTACTGTAAGTGTTCCTCCTTCAGTGAACAAAACGATTCACTATTTCCTGGAATCCAGGACCAGAACCGTAACTCAACCCAGTAGAGTAAACTATTTCTGGGTAACAGCAACACCCAGGTGTTGATTTGAATCTTACTGCCCAGTTTACCGGCTGGCTGCAGGGCTGAAACATGGGGAAATGCACCGTACACCCTTTGTGTTCTCATGAAGACTAAAGTTGACCTAAAAATAAGTTCCCGATGAGTAAGTGAAGCCATTGAGAACACTACAGGGCTTTGCACACCGCACTTAGCCCCCCAGGTGTTTGCTTTCATACCAGACAAACATGGTGGAAACTTTTTAAACAAACCCCCGAAGACGGCTACGAGTCATACAATGTTCAGTCAATATGATATTAACGTCCATACTGCACCGTTTGTCAGACAAAGTATATCCTAAGAACAGGTGGTGCAACCTGTAGGTGTAGAGTAGAGCTCTGTTTCTGGAACAGATAGTGCTCAAGTGTTTATTTATTCATGTAATGTTCACAGTGAGCCTAAAATAAAAAAAGGTACCATGAAATAAAACTACCCCAAAAATGCATTTATATATCAAAATCCAATCTTAATCAAATGGTGCATGGGTCTGAAATCATGGTCTCCATTTGTGCCCATGTGCAGTCCAAGTGACTGAAATTCAATGATTTCAAAGAGGCCGTTTCCCCAAACTAGACACGCCAACATTCCTTGGCGGAGCTTTTGAACCGTCATCAATAAGTCGCTCACGATGTTGAATCGTGTCCCGACATCTTTGTTTCATGCGTTCACGTGTCACCACTGACATCGTCAAAGTAGTTTCATGGAAAACTTGTTTGAATCCTGACAGAAGAAACCAAAACGAGCTAAAAGGTCGACTGGACCGAATACTTCCTCAATCCTCAATCCTCCACGCGGGAAAAGACACATTTATACGTTTTATCGGCCAACACACACTGAGAATCAGATGTCGATCACGGATCATTAGGAACACAAACAAGTGTTTTATGCGTCTCAGAAACTGGACATGAAAACCTAGCTGGCTTAAACTCAGAACATTCAGACTGCAACACTTTCCTGAAAGCTATCGATACCAATGACCTCATTTAATTATCTTCACATCAGATCCCAACGTTTCAAAGGGAAATCAACACAACCTGGACATTCTCAGTTAAACCGTGTATAGGTTAACTGATTTATAGGCGATACTTCTGGAAAATGCACACAAACACAAAAGCTGTTTGTTTCCCCGTTTCCTTCCTCCTCTGGTTTACATCAGTGAGAAGATGAGGAACATCAAGCAGAGATAAATGAACAGTCGTTTTGTCCTCATTCACGTTCTCAAAACAGCTGATGAATAAGAGCTCGGAGTCAAATAAACAGGGGTGTAAACTCGTTTCAGTGTTTAGATTTGAAATCTGCGAGAGGTTAGGTTTCCATTAAAACACAATAAACCGGAGAGCGGATGTGAGGCAATAAAGTATGGAACTGGAAACACAGCATTGTGACTCCTGTGAATGCTAAAGACTTATGGGAAATACAAAAAGGAGGCTGCAGACACAAACACTCAAATATATACACACACACACACACACACACACACACACACACACACACACACACACACACACAAGTCACTGATTAGAATTTTTAGACATCAGAGCTCTTTAAAGCTGCAATATACGTCTTTTTTAAGGTAAAACACAGGGTACCCATGGTGGAGGAGGAGAAACGCTTTTCAACCAAAGCTTCATGTGTTAAAGCTGCATTCTCTCTAGTGTCCACCAGGGGGCGACTCCTCTGGTTGTATAGTATGAGAAAATGACTACTTCTCTCTTGATTTATTACCTCAGTAAACATTGTAAACATGAGTTTATGGTCTCAATCTCTAGTTTCAAGTCTTCTTCAATACAGCATGATGTTCATTTAGTACATTATGGTCCATTTAGAGTCAGACAGACCATAAAGCAGAGTATGCTTTAGGGCGGGGCTACACAGTGATCGACAGGTCTCACGGTGTCTCTTTGTCACTCCTCCGCAGTCCAAATATGGTCACTTCCTATTTAAGGGTTGTTGAAAGCCAAGATGGATACCTTTTTTCATCTAATGCGATAATAATGTATCGTTACCTTTAAATCCAAAATGACAACTTAAGAGGATTTCAGGAATTTCTCGATGGAGGTTTTAGGAAGATTTCCATAAAGACTGAGATCTATACAGTATATAGTACAGTCATATAATAGTGTGACATGGTTATAGATTACGTGCCAATGACTTATTGTTATGGTTAAATCTACCTCTCTGTGTATTTGCGCCGCTTACCCGTGCGTCGTACTCCAGGACAAACGGAGGGATGTCGATCTGATCGGGTTTGATGCAGGTGAAGAGCTGCTGCAGGTTGTCCAGGTAGCGAACCTTGTCCTTCACCCCCGACACACTGAAGGTGGTGAAGAACCACGTTGAGACCTGGAATGAGGAAGAAGAAAGAGAGCGGAAATAAGAAAACGGGACACAACTCTATAAAGTAAACAGCTAGATGAATCCTAATGGACCTTTAATGATCCCTGAGGAGACGTTTGGCAAACGGAGCAACGAGGACTGAGATTCCAGAAAACAGCGAAGAAAGGGATATAAATCAGAAAGCACTCTGACGACAAATCTCAGCCAAGGCTGCACCATTCTCTAGAATCATTATTTTAAATCATAAAAGTAAAGTATTTGCAAGTTTTTGATTTTTGCATCTGGATCAGCATCTAAACACATTTTTGGATAATACCTCATATTGGGAAAGTTAGCCGCTAATTTTTGCAAGGTTGCTGTGTTTTATTTTGCATTTATTGTTGCCAGTCATGGCAGGTTATGTGAAGTAAGACACAATCAGTAACACATTTACCAAAGAAAGTATCGTAAAAAAACATTACATGTAAAGAAATTATTTAGTTTAAATGTCACCCAAATGTTTTGGGGTGAAGATTGAACATTTTTTAATTGTGGAACATATCTCAATGGAAATGAACATAAATAATATACATTATTTTTGCCTTTACGAGCCAAAGTTTACATTTGGCGATAGATAGCCAGCTAGCAACGAGCTAACAGACAGACGGACCGGTTGGATACATTCGCTCTTTGGATAATATTGATGAATTTCAACTCTCTGTGCGTAACTTTGTCGACCCTTCTGGCAGCAAGAGAAATTTAAAAAAATAGTTGTATGCTGTTGAATGTTCCCCAATATCATTTATTGTCAACGTTAGAAGAGTTAAACCGGAATGACGAATAAAATTGCGTGAGAACAGGAAGTGGAAATAGTGGGCGGGGCAGCACAAGGTAAACACATTGATATTAATCCTCTAGGCCTGAATACGGAGCAAGCTCTTTTGACACAACAAAAGATCAATAACACAAACAAGACTCTTACCTTAGAGCGGAATGTTGGATGCACGAAGTAGAAGGCCTTTAAATTATTCTTAAACCTGCAAGAACATAAAACAGGAACCTTCAGGGTGAATACTTCACAGCAAGGAATGACTCAGAAGACAAAGACGATGACAAAGATCAAGAGAAGCTCTACCAGGCCCTGGATGTTTGAGGATAATCTGATCAAAGTGTGTAGTTCTTCCTTCTCAACAGCTGGAAATATTTTCCCAGACAAATGCACAAATTCCTCCCGTTTGGGTAACATTTGCTATAAAATCGAACCATCTATGAGTGGTCTGTTTTTAAAGGCCAGTGAAGTTTAATCACTGCTGTCTCACGACATTCAGTAACAAAAGTGCAAAACTGACTTTTCAGCTGGACTCTGTATTTTTAACCACACCAGCAGTGGTTCATCTAAAGTCAACAACTATTGAATGGATTGTCATTAGCGGCGTAACAGACAGTTGTTGATCTGTAACGATCCCCCTCGCGGTTCGGCACGCATGTGAACCGTGGATTAAATCCACACTTTAACGTTGACTAACCATCACAGTGTGAAATAAAGTTTTACTGACAATCGTTATCCTCAATTATTCAGTAGAACATGTGTTTCTAGTCTCTGATCATGTTTCATTGTAAACAACCAATCAGGGTTTAAACCAACAGAGGAGAGCTAGTAACGTTAGCAGCACCGCTAATGGCTAACCAACAGGAGGAGAGCTAGTAACGTTAGCAGCACCGCCAACGGCTAACCAACAGGAGGAGAGCTAGTAACGTTAGCAGCACCGCTAACGGCTAACCAACGGAGGAGAGCTAGTAACGTTAGCAGCACCGCTAACGGCTAACCAACAATCTTTTGTTTCCGTATCATTTGAATATTGTGTTTTTATGAAGAAAATAAAACCACTTTAAATGAATTAAAGAATAACAATTATTTGTATTTTTGATGGTTTACTGACTTCAGAGTGGATGAAATGATTTTTGAGACGATGACAAAAAAATAAATACTCTGGATCCTTGTAGAGCAGCTGCTGTAATCAAACAACAGAGGGATCTGTATCCGTTTAACCCAATGATCGGCAATTAGTGTCCACGTGATCAGGGATCTATAGAAGTTATATTTGCTCCTTTTTTTTCTGTGCTGATCCGATCTGTGAACCGATCCGCACCGTGAGTTTTATGATCCGTTGCATCTCTAATTGGAAAATACATTCATGGTCCCCAGAGGGTTATTTCTGATTATTTGAGGTTTTGCGGCTACCTTGAATTTTCCTCCGGTGCTGCCATGATGTCAAAATACATTCACAATGTATTGTAAGTAATAATAGGATATCCATGGATTATCTTATGGCCTTTCCTCCAGCATCACCCACAAATCAAATCTGACTGCAAGATATCACAGAATTACATCCAAATTTGTATTTTTTTTAAATGCCGACATCTGTCCGAGTTGATGTTTCTGTAATATTCTGTATTGGACAGATGTGTTTACTTGTTGCACTAAGCTGCAACAATCAGAACTAATCAATTCTCAGAACTGAAGTTAAACTTGTCCACAAGGTTGAGCCAAAACAGCCTACAAAGAAAACTCCTTTTAGTCGCTCTAGTCTCCATGATCTCATACCCTGAGCTCACGGCCAGAGGCGAGGATGGGAATAGATCGGTAAATGGAGAGCTTCACCTTCAGACAAAGTTCTCCATTTACAGTCTTGGTAGCCAAAACCACCAGATGGTGCACCAATCCAGCCGGTCAATCTCACATCACCTCACCATCACTCATGAAAAAGGACCTCAAGACACGTGAACTCCTTTCTCAAAAGGGGGCAGCAACCCCAGACCCAATCCACCGGTTCTCTGGCAAAGCACCATGAACTCAGAACTGGAGGCGTTGACCCCCCCTCGGCTGCAAACCGACCACAGTGCGAGCTGGAGGTCTCGGTCCTCTGAAGCAAGGAAACCACATCGTTGGGAGGAAAGGTTTGCCAGTTGAGATTCACTGGCCTTGATTTCACCCACTGGGTGAATCTGGGACAACAACAAACCTGCAGAAACCTAAACTGTACTCGCGAACCAAATCTCAGTTATTTTCAAATCGGGTCATCTTTCATCAACTCAGCACTGTTAGAGGACACTTGGCAGCTCATTTCACGGCAGTACTCTGACAATAACGCGCCACATTTGTGACCGTTGGCATCGTCATGCTACACACAGTGGTGGTCTGGTTGTGGTGAGCTGCATCTGGTGATATAACGCAAAACAGTCGACCTCCAGAGGGAGGAACTGGATCTTTTAGCTGACAAACTAACTCAGACGGGTATCAGGAGTCCTGCACCATGACGTGGGGCTTCTGCTTTGGTCCAGCTCAGGACCCCTGGGAGTCCACAGTAATGATCTCCCTCATCTGTCTCCCGGAGAAAGTAATCAACGACTCCCCACTTAGTTTTGGAAACTTTGGTGTGTTCATGTTTGGCTTTAGTCTTCTGGTTAAGTTCGTCTGGAGCCAAAATGCATCTGCAGCCAATCAATAGCTTGATGTGTTGAATGCTGGCCGTGCAGGGCCAGGGCTAGTGGTTGTATTGTCTATGTAGCTGCCTCAACAAGCCAAAAGAGCAGCAACTGCTTGAAAAGTGACTTATAAGTTTGGGCATGAGTAGAAACTGTACAACTTTAACAACGTTCACGATTAAAGTTGTGTTTATATGAAATGTGACCCATGAACATGATCTGAAACAGACTTTTGTGCTGCTTGCAGAGGAGAATAAGTACAACAAGTACCCGAGAAAAGGGTTCGATTCCCACTGGAGCTATCCGGCCCCACAAAAGTTTATTATACACAACCGCTTAAAAGTTTGGAATCAGCCGATGTTTTTCTTCTTTCCATCAATAAGAAATATTTTAACAGAGAAAAAAACTGTATAATTCAGACGCCAAATGTTTTATTTAAATTTTAAATAGTGTGACCTCAAAGTTAGAAGAATGAACCGATTCAAACTTCCATTCGGTCGATGTCCCCACAGTGTTGCATGAGAGGGGAGAAGACTGTTGGAACTTGGATGTTGAATTTAATTTCCAGTCCAGAAAAGTGTAAAAACCCATAGTTATTATTATTGAACCACAACGGTGAAGCTAGGCTCTAAATATTGAGCAGATCTGTCTTTTCTTTGGGCCTTCAGCGGACCACTCAATGGTTAGATTGAAGAGGTTTAAACTGATTCTTCAGTCCATAGAAGAGCTTTGTCTCAGCACACTCTTATAGCACCCAATAATTTGTTCAAACCAGGCGGCAACCTCCTGTTCTGCTGAATGAAGCCGATGCGTCATGTATTAAAGCTACATTCTCTTGAATGTCCACCAGGGGGCGACTCCTCTGGTTGTATAGAAGTCTATGAGAAAATGACTACTTCTCTCTTGATTTATTACCTCAGTAAACATTGTAAACATGAGTTTATGGTCTCAATCTCTAGTTTCAAGTCTTCAATACAGCATGATGTTCATTTAGTAAATTATGGTCCATTTAGAGTCAAACAGACCATAAAGCAGGGGATGCTTTAGGGGTGGGGCTTACTGTGATTGACAGGTGTCTACCAGAGACGTATACGGCGTCTCTACGTCACTCTTCCACATTCAAAATATGGTCACTTCCATGTATCTGTTGCAAACACATGGCGACGGACGTAATCCAAGATGGCAACGCCGAAATCGTGGACGTCCCGATGACAACGTCCACTTCTTATATACAGTCTATGGTTCACAGAGGACGGATAGAGCGTTTCCAGACTCCAGCTTTTTCAAACCAGGTATTTCCTACAGGAAACTGTGCTGGGTATCGTTTTAAAAAATGACGATGCTTGTACCATTACCAGTATCCTCAAAGTCACCCCGATACCAATAGAGTACTTCATACCCATCATGTGAATGGAAGCCGTGTGTGTCCCGAGCCAATCACTGCCGTCCTCGACCCACTGCGTTGGGACCGACAAGCTAGCATGACATGGTGGGTATCAATGCATCACCTTCCCTCCAGCTCTAAACCTGAGCCTGCTACAGTCTGACAGGTAGTACAGTTGTGGATGGCGGCGTCCACAAGGAGCAGAAGAGGTTTAATAACCTTGACATTTAATGGCGATTAGCATTAAACCCCCGAGCTGCAACTCTCCGAGATGACTCAGCGACGGTGCGGTCGTGGATAACCACGGTCATGTTTAAATGGGGTTTCCCTCTTCTGATGAAAGGGGAAGTTCAATGAAGGTGTCTTCATTCATATTCTTGTATTTTGTGTGGCACTCTCTCGTAATTCTCCACTGTGACTAAAAATAACCAGCAGATGACTTATACAGCCGCTGGGTGACACATTTAAAGCAGGCAAACATGAGGAATATGCTCCTACATTGTAGAGTCTTGAGGGCTTAACTGACTGAATTTTCCAGACAGAAAAAGTTTAAGAAAGCTGCGACGAAACCAACTGAATGAGCCGACTCAGAAAGTAATGAATGAGAGAAACGCGGGGGTTGAAATGACTGCATGGAGTTTCCCACTGACACAGGAAGCTTGTTTGGTTGTGGTTACTAGCAACTAGAAACTAGAAACGTTTAACCCATTGAGCTCTGGAGTTTCTCTGCAAGTCAGTTAGAAAAATAATAAATGATTTTGTAGTTTCCATGTAGATGCACAATTTCCTCCAGTTTGAGTAACATTTGTTAAAAAAAAACCTCCCAGTTGTTTCAGGAAATGATGAAGCCTTTTATTGTTAAACTAAACTATTCGTGATCTGCTCTTTAAAATCAATCAAGCGGATACAAGTTGAATCACTGCTGTGTCATCGTTCAGCTAGAGACTAAACTGAACTTTCTTTCTATGAACATGTCGACAACTTCATGGCCCTGTTTAGGAATGACATGTTGTATTTTAGGTAGAGCTTAAAAATGAAACATACTTTGGGGCATAAAGGTGGAACACCAAGTAAAGACGCTTACTTTACAAAGGAAACATATTTGATTGGAGTTACTAGAAAAATAAACCAGAACGGTTTAATTCACTTTATCTCTGGAACGATGACAGTTTATCCTATTTTTGTTTTTTGTGCCTTCATGTTGAAGGGTGCTAAACAATAAACTTCGTTCAGATTATTAAAGATTGTTAGATGTGATGATCAAGTGGATCACGCTAAAAAAAACACTGAAATGTTTTTTCCATGAATGCACCAAACAAGAAAATCTCTATAGCATAATTTTAAAAACACGTTTATTCTGAAATTCAGGCAGATATATCTTTGGTTTTTGGACAACCTAGTTCCTGGACTATAAGTAGCCTGGAGTCACACTGTGCTGAAGAACATTATTATCACAGAGCTGTGGTTTCTACTCTGATCTCCATGTGGAACTGTAAACACTTCTGGTTTTTATTTGGAGGATGTGGCTCCTATTTAGCTCAATGAAATAAAGAAAGCTCGTCAACGGTGAACCTCACAGCAGGATGTCTGGTACCGATACAACATCTGACTCTTTGTGTACAGTACTTGATGCGACGATGACACAGCGCATTAAAAAGCTTGAATAAAAACAATCTTTGAAGTTTCTTATTAGAAATCCCTGATTTAGATCCAGGCATCTGTCGCATGTTTGATAGAGCGAAGCTGGCAGACAGATTATCATCCGTATGTTGAATTATGTTGAAAGTTTGTCTTCAAATGTAAGACACTGGCTCCATCCTACATTTATCGAGAGTCAGATACGTGCGATTCGGTTTTAATTTAAACCCTCCGAACCACAAAACAATAAACCATTTATCAAAGTCAGAAGCTGTAGGAACAGACACCATCATTGGATTTACAACTTTAACGACCGACTTTAAACACATCATCTGTGACAAACGCACCCTTCAAGAAAAGCAACAAATTCAAAGCTTTAAAATTTTTTATCAAAATCACTTTAGTCTACGTCTCACTTTTGCAATATTTTACCCAAAATAAATCGTTTGCAGTCACTGGATCCGGTGAAAAACATCAAATTCCTATTTGAGAGGAACTATTGACGACTTTAAACGCCAATTAAGAAAACTCTGCAGGATGAGACAAACATTTTGTTCCTCACTCAAAACCAATAGATCGTTTGATTTAATGATGATGAAATTATTTAGTGCCCCATATGGTGGAGTGGGATTAAACTAAAAACAGCTTCATCCCATGATCCAATATAAATTCCACTGTTTTCCTTTTTCAAAAAACAAAACAAGTGATCAAATAAATTCAACTTCAAGCGTCTTTATTTCCGAGCAATGAGCCACTGAAAGGCCCATTCTTCAACTTAATCACAAATAAAGTCAGACTATCATCTCTGTGTGCGATTCCTTTGTCTGTCCAGAGCTATTTCAGTGCTTTCAAAACTTTCTGATTAAGGCCGAGTCACAGCCGATACATCATCCTCAAAACACACATCCAAGTTTGGGTTTCCTGTTCCAAATATGGCCGCCAGATTTCCAAAACACACAGCAAAAAAACCCAAAAGTGTTTTCCAGCTCGTTTTGCTGTTCCAAGCGTCTAAACACTGTAAGCTTGGCGGCGTCACACCGTGGCAGCAACAATGCACGTGAACTCCGACGCAGCTGCAGACGTCTGACTGACTGAGAGCCAAACGAGGGTCAAATGACACAAGATGTTGCATTTGATCACATCCAGCTACGGATTTGACTGTGAGAAGTCTCTCATTTCTGCACTTTTACATTTAAATTAAGATATTTTCAAACTTAGTGTTTCCATTACAATAAACAGAGAAACGTCAAAAAACGCCAGCGAGCTGCCGTCAGACCGCCGTTCCATCTGGAGGTTTTCCCACCATTTCTTAAAAAACGCCTCACGATTTATGTTTATAGATACGCAGTTCTGGGTGTTAAAGAGCGGAGACGCTGCCGGGCCGGCCGGCCGCGCGGAGTTAGCCAAATGACTGCAAACCCAGAACATACAGCACAGAACATTAAAGCCGTGCCCTTGCGTGGGAGGGAGGTTAAAGCAATAAGAGCTGCAGAGTTTTCTCAGAGGGACGAGACACAACTGAGAGGAGAGACTAAAACAATGGGAACTAAGCTAACGCTGCTTTATATTGGACTTCAAAGTAATCTCATTTCACAACATGTGGTGCTTTGAACCAAAATGACAAGTCCAATTATAGGAAAATGTAAAAATGTTCGTACAAAATGTCACAAAATCGATGAAACGTATTTGGTGTAAGGTTTAGATTATCTGACTTTTTGTCTGGTGATGTTCTGTTATGGTGGGCCGGTCGCCACGGTCAAAACAAAAAGAACTAATAACTACGTCGTAACTTAGGTTCAACGAGTACGAGAACTGCAGGAGGAGGAGGAGGAGGGAGTGAGACAATGACTGATTTTTAGAGCTTAGAAAAACGCAGTGATGATACAGACATTTCATACACAAGGCGTTCGTTAATATTCTGCTTGTCAGACTAGAAAATCCAGTCTTCAGTGACCATATTCAGACTGAGGAGGAGTGACGTAGAGATGCCGTATACGTCTCTGGTAGAGACCTGTCAATCACTGTGTAGCCCCGCCCTAAAGCATCCCCTGCTTTATGGTCTGTTTGACTCTAAATGGACCATAATGTACTAAATGAACATCATGCTGTATTGAAGAAGACTTGAAACTAGAGATTGAGACCATAAACTCATGTTTACAATGTTTACTGAGGTAATAAATCAAGAGAGAAGTAGAGTCATTTTCTCATAGACTTCTATACAACCAGAGGAGTCGCCCCCTGGTGGACATTAGAGAGAATGCAGCTTTAAGACACTTTCGTATCGACTTAACTCGGAAGAACCGGAGGTTGCGGCCTGGACAGTAACAGCAATTGCTGTATATTTGACTGGACTGAACTTTCTCTTCAGAGTCTGGATTCAGGCGGACACTTGCAAATCCTCTTTCCCACCATGAATACTTAAATAAATTCTCTGTCCCAGTAAGAAAGGGTTAAAGGAAAAGGTCCCATCTATGCACCGCTCCCAGAGGACGTTACTCAGACCAGAAGCTCATTTTAACGAGGAGTGTGAAAGGTCAGACTGACTTGGCGTCCACGATGTCGTAGAGGTTCTTGAGGAAGTCGGAGTCCAGGTGGTTGTGCTCGCCGGTCAGCGTGTGGAAGTAAACCATCACGTATTCCTTCACTGTGATGTGGTCCATGACGTGGATGAAGTACAGCAGCGCCTGCACACGAAAAATTGGTCACTCTTGTGTTTGTTTTATAAATAAGTTTTAGTTTCTTTTGGTTCAAGTTTGGCTGTTTTTGGTAGATGATGGTGAGCTTTAATAAAGAACAGATGTTATACATTTGTCTATACTATATTGTATAAAAATATGGAATACAAACTTGTGCACACAAATTAAATATATTATTCTCACACACACACACACACACACACACACACACACACACACACACACACACACACACAGTCAATCTTTGGTGTGTGTGTGTGTAACATCAATAAAAGGCTTTTATTTTGAAATAAGCATCCTGTTTTGTTACCTTTTCGATGTCAATGAGGGTCACTGGGATGTTTCGTCCAACCAAAATCATCACTGTCCTGCCACACATGTCCATACCTGGGGACACACATTAACAGGTCACACACACACTGTTCTTTTTCTGTTAACAATGTTCTGAATGTAGATAATCAATAACATTAATCATCTATCACATGCTATAACATTCATTTGTTGCAGCTTCTCAAAAGTGAGTATTTTCTTTGTCATTATGAATTTAACATCTTTGTGTTTTTGAACAAAAGAAGACATTTTAAGACGTCACTGTGGGCTCTGACAACTTGTGACATTTTATAGAATATAATTGAAATTTATTTATTCTCTGAAGAAATCAACATATGAACTGAGGAGTGAAAACATTTACACCGGCAGATGGAATCAGAGGCTGATGGAGGTAAAATCTCTCATATTTTACGTTATAACTTAAGTTACGCATCTGTAAATGTTGCAGATGTTTCCTGCACGACCAACATCATCACAGATTTAATTTAAAGTCATTAATTGATTAACTTACTTAAATTACAGCTTTTGATGATCAGTACGTAAAATATAATAATCTTGGGCTCTGCGAACATTTTTCACTGTTTTCCGATATGTTAAAGACTAAACAAATATATTCTTTAAATAACCGTTAGTTGCAGCTTTAATCAATTTGCAAATATCTCAGTTATCACTCTGGTGTATTCCACAACATATGAGTAACAGTTGTTTGAATCTGACGGCCTGTAAAAGCCTTTTATGTGAACAGCTGAGCTCGGAGCTCTTCAGCGTTCTGTTCACCGGCTCTCTCTTTGTGAACGAGAAGCGACGACGTCTCTCTGGAAGAGACGAGAGGCGGTCGTCACTGCAGCAGCTTTAGCCTCATCGCATGCGTCTCTGAGGATGTTCTTGATTCTGTGGTGAAATTCTTCTTCTATTCATGTTCTCTGTGTCCAGTCCTCCCACATAGCTGTTCTATTAATTCAGTATTTGTGGTTTCCTGATGAGAACACGATCCTTTCCTTCCATGAAAGACGAACGTCGTTAATCACGTCTTTACTCTGCTGGTCTCACTTTACTCCATCGCACTGAAGCCCAACACTTCAGATGCTTTGTTTTAAACTCTAGTTTTGATGAAAACATTTCATTTAAACTGCATTTCTTTCATCTGAAAAGAAACTTAACCTTGAATATTTCTGCAAACACATTCATTGTTTAAGTAATCAGCCTATTTTGAGCACCAGATATCACAATAGAAAACTAATCTTGTGAAATAGACCTGTCACTAGAGGACGTATTGATAAGCAGGTAAATAAAACTGAAGCCTCGAGTCATCTTCATCCTCATGACACCTAACCACAAGAAGAAAAGCATCGTATTCTCTTCTTCTGATTGTTTTTATACAGTAGTTACATTAGTTTTCTGCCATTTATTGTCTTTAATTTCACTTAATTATCATTGAGATTCAACTGAAACATTCTGAAATATGTAAATGAGGCACTATCTTATTAAATGTGTGCTGATTTGCATACATTTAATCTGAACATTGGATTCAACATTCTTGATTCATGTTGACATATTAGAGTCAAAAGCTTTTACAGATGGAATTTTGGAAATCTCTTTGAAATCACTGCATTAATCAGAAAATACTGTAAACAGACAAAAATACAAACAAACATTCTCTCCATGTTTTAAGTTCTAAAATGTATAAATGAGTCTCTGAATGATGAGTGAACTAACCCCTCTGTGTGAACCTTCAGCACACAGAGAGGAATGAACGAGTGAAGTTTGGTGAATGTAAGAGCTGCTGAAGTGGAGATTTATCATCAGAGTCTGAGAACAAACTCATTGAGAGGAAACGTCCTTTAAAGAGACGTTTAGTTCCATTACAGACATTTAGAGACTCTACAGGTGAACACATGAACTCATGATATCACCA